GATGGAACACCTTCCAATCCACCTTGTACACGAGGCACGACTTGGAGGGCCTGTTCAATGCAGATGGATGTATCCCTTTGAGAGGTAATATTATAAGTTTGATGTAATTTTTTGTTTTATTTGAATGTTCTTGGCTAACCTGAAATTATGTAGGACAATTGGCAAATGCAAACAATTTGTTAAGCAGAGGAATAGGATTGAAGGATCTATATGCGAAGCTTATCTTGCAAAGGAAACTGCTCATTTTTGTTCTTATTATTTTGAGAGTAATGTGCCATGTGCTAGGAATAGGCCCAATAGGCACACGGTCGAATGTGTGAATGTGTGAATGATCCATTATATCTGCCTATGTCCATATTCAATCAACCAGGCCGATGTTCTAAGGCAGTTAGAAAGAGAAGTTTGAGTGATATGGAGTACAAGTCAGCTACACTTCAAGTGTTGCTAAATTATCCCGAAGTTGTACCATTTCTCAAGTAAGTATTGATTTAGTAGTTATCAAAATATAAAATTTACTGTGACTACATCTCAATGCAACTACTAAAAATATTTGATGTGTCATAGTCACTTCGTGGGTCAATTTGGCCATGATGCTGTATATACGAGATTTGATACGTGGTTCAAACAATTTGTAAGTTTATCCTTAAAATATTCTAACACTATGTAGGTAAACAATATTTGGAAGTTATGCTAACTTATGAATTTTTTTAACAATATGTAGGTAAATGATCCAAATAATAGTGTAAATCAATTTTTTGAAAGATATATCTTGGGGACCTGGGCTTGAGGTCACAACAATGTCTAAGTACGTTGTGAATGGTTATAAGTTTCATACAGAGGATTGCTCTAAGAATAAAAGTAGCAACAACAGCGGGGTGTGGGTTCAAGGTGGTGATGACAACCAAGTTGGAGATATTGATTATTATGGTGTGCTCAAAGAAATAATAGAACTAGAATATACAGGTTGGCCATTTAAGAAATTGATACTCTTTAGATGCAAGTGGTTTGACCCAAATCCAACAAGAGGTACACGAGTACACAATCAATACAACATAATTGAGGTTAATCATACGAGAGAGTATGATCGCTATGATCCTTTCATAATTGCACATAATGTTAGGCAAGTGTATTATGTTCCTTATCCATTGCGGCGGAATAAGTCCGATTGGTGGGTTGTAATAAAAACTAAGCCTGTAGGTAGGGTGGAAGTCGAGAATGTATTAGATGTTGCATATCAAAACGATATCTCCAGTGTTCACCAAATAGTGGACGAACTTTTAGAAAATGATTTGGAACATCCTGAACACATATTGGAAGAAGTTGATATAAATAAAGTAAGAATTATAGGAAACGAGGAAGAAGAATCAACCGATGAAGCTCAAACTAGTGAGGAAGAAGAATTCTTGGACGAGGAACAATACGTCGATGAGCTTTAAAAAGTTGGTTTCTTTAATAACTCTCGTTTATAGCTAGTTTCTTATATGTTTCAATCTAAATATGTATTATATTGTGCAGATGACAGGCAAGGGTCGAGGTAACAATGACCCTACTGGTTCTCGGGTCGAGAAAAGGCTAGGAAACCAAAGAGGAGGGTAGAAGATAATACTTAATCTTTTCCACCCTCTTCAGAGATGCCTATGCCTATGTCTTATCCTCCACCCCAGGGCTATTCTGAGCTACCACAGCATCACGAGCCCTACACCTTCGTGCAGACACCAGGTCTTTCGTCACAGGGCCATAGGAATATACGTCCGGCATACAGTCCAGCTGCCTCACAACCACGTAGATCGCAGCCATCGACATCACTTGGATCGCATCGATCCATGTCACATTCACATGGATCACAGCCATCAGTGTCAAAGCCACTCGGGTCATAGCAATCAGTATCACAGCCACTTGCGGTCCATCCAGCTATGTCGCAGTCACAGGGATCGCAGCCATCTTCATCAGCGACTCCATCTGTTTCAGGCCTTCGCCTGTGAGATAGTAGCTCTGACCCCCCCCCCCCCCCACACACCTTCCACACATGCCTCTAATATACATGCTTCGGACGGTGATGCTGATGATGACGAGGAGGTGCATTATGATCAATATGGCAGGATCATCATAGTCCCTGAGGGTGATGGGTAAGAGTTATTTGTTATTTTTACGTTTATTGTTTTGTATAGTTTGTACTAAGATATTAATGTGTTTTTTTTGTTAAATTGCAGGTTCATCCCGAGTAATATTATCTACGAGGATAATCACCAAAGCTACCAGAAAGCTTTATGATGGCCCTTATGCGACTTGGAGTGAATTCTCATTCTCGCTGAAGGAGCAAATTTTCAATCAATTTAAGGTATAAATGTTCTTTTAAGTAGTATAATTATTTATATTTATGATATTTTCATATAATATTTAACTTCTGAAATACAGAGCAAGTGTGTATGGGAACACCGCTATAGCGCGGAAGCGGCTGCAGATTTTCATCACAAAGCTCTCAAGCAGTTGTCGCATAGTTTCTCCAAAGCTAGAAAGCTGAACCAGAAGCATGACTGGTTGCTTCAAAATTTATGGGAGGATTTGCAAAGGCAATGGATTACGCAAAGTTCTTAGAGAAGAGCGAAAAAGGAAAGAAAGCTTGCGCATATGAGAAGGGAGGCTCCTTGCACACTGGAGGTGCGATCAGCCTAGGCACAATAAAAAGAAGATCGGTACGTAATTGCTTAATATATTTTAATTTTCAAAGTATATCTATTCTATTTATTAACTAAAATTTATGAGTTTTTAGGAAAAGAAGTTGGGGCGTCCAATGAACCAAGATGAGCTATTCAAGGAGACTCATATTGTAAAGAAGAAGAAAGAGACGGATCAAGAAAGGTGGGTCGAGGGTCGAGCCTCGACTGTACATGTAAGTTTTCACTTTTCATTAAGTATTTTGATTTACTTTTATATGAATTTTGAAATACTAATTCAATGTAATTTTTCTTATAGGGTCGCTTCACAGCTAACGTGGAGGAATTCATACGCAGTCATCCACCTAATGAGTCGGGCGAGCCAATCCAACCTTCGGACGAGGATGCTGAAAGAATATGGATGGATGCTGCTGGCGGTCCAAAATGGGGGAAGGTATACGTGCTTCCTACTAAGAAATTCCATCGCTATAAGTGTGGAATGCAAGGAATAGGGACTTCCTCGCAAGGCGAGCAACTTGATGGGGAGAGCCTCTCGGCTATGCGGGAGACTGTGACAAAGCTCACATGCGAGCTAGAAGCGGCCAAGGAAAGAGAAAAGCTTAGAGATTCTCAGTTCACTAGCATGCAAGAGCTGATCAAATCTCTCCTAGCTTCTGGCTCTTTTTTGATTCCCCCGGTCTCGTGAGTCATCGCTAGAGGCTCGCCTTCCCCGTGCTCATTCCTCCCATCCTCCAAGTGCTCGTTCCGCCCGTCCTCCCCGTGATCGTTCTTCCNCTCTCGGCTATGCGGGAGACTGTGACAAAGCTCACATGCGAGCTAGAAGCGGCCAAGGAAAGAGAAAAGCTTAGAGATGCTCGGTACATTGGCATGCAAGCTCAGCACCATGACATGCAAACTCAACTCAAAAATCTCCTAGCTTCTGGAGCTTTTCCGATTCCCCGGTCTTGTGAGTCATCGCCAGAGGCTCGACTTGAACGTGAGCGTTCCTTCCGTTCTCCCCGTGCTCGTTCCTCCTGTCCTCCCCGTGATCGTTCTTCCCGTCCTCGACAAGTAGACCCTTCTGTATACCGTCTTGTTGATGAATCTTCATCAGATGGTGATGATAATGATGATGTACAAAACACTCCTTGACTTTTATATACTTTGAACTAGACAAATAGAACCAGTTTTGAACTAGTTGTAATAAGCGTTAACTTAGTATTGTTAGTTTAATTTGTTAGTTCTATTGAACTTTAATTTGTTGGTTTTAATGTATTTTTTGAATTGTGTTGTTGTTGTTGTTGTTGTGTTGTTGTTGTTGTCGTGGAGATTTTGGTATTGAAATTGTAGTTTATGAATTGAATTATATTGTTATTTAGGAATTTTGGTATGCTGGCAGGTAGTGTAGCTGCCAAAACAGGCATTTTATGCCAAAATTATTACCCAGAAAAGCAACCAAAGTTGGTCGCTAACCTATTAAAAAAAATATTTTCTGGCAATTAGCGACCAAAGTTGGTCGCTTACATTTAAAAAAAAAAATTAAAAAATTAAAAATTGGCGACCAAGGTTGGTCGCTAATGAACCCAAATTTTATTTTAAAAAAAAATCCTGGAAATTAGCGACCAAGGTTGGTCACTTATCTATAAAAAAAAATTAAAAATTCAAAATAAGCGACCAAAGTTGGTCGCTTATGAACCCAGATTGTTAAATATATATTTTTTAAAATAATATATATTTTAGTTTACAGACCGACGTTGGTCGCTAATTGTTGAATTATAATAATTAAAAAAATATCGTAATTTAAATACAGACCAACGTTGGTCGCTAAATTTATATTATTAAAATATTGTACCGACCAAAGTTGGTCAGTATTTTATTTACACTGAACATTTGGTCATTTTTATCTTAGCAACCAAAGTTTGTCGCTAATTAGAGACCAACGTTGATCGCTATATGTGATCGCTTTTTGCCGAATTTCTAGTAGTGCGGGCAAATCTCTTGGCTCGTTTATCTTTTTGGTTGGCCAAAGAAAATGATAATGCTTTGGAGTTGATATATCTAGAAATCTTTATAATAGCACAATAAATTGGAGGGAGATGAGCGGTAGTACTGCTATTTTATTGTCAAATTGTGATAATAACTAGGACAAATCTGAGCATAAAATGAAACTGTAAACTTCCTTGCATCCACAATTTTATCATTTTATAAGAGTCCCCCCTTCTCCTTTAGTACTTCTTTTACAGTCACACCCTCGTAACTGAATCAGAAAGTGTGTGTGTGTGTGTGGGGGGGGGGTTAGGTGGGGGGGTTAA